CAGCATTCTCAGCGTGTCGCAGCCACGTAAGGAATGTGCTAGGGGACTTTGTGCGAGCTTCAATTTTGTGTTCCGTGGGAGGACTCCAGTTCTCCAGCTGCTCGACCCGTGCGGTAACACAATCGGAGGCCTGAAGCGTGAACGATTCGGTGCCCCCCCACCAAAGACCCGACACCGCGAGAGCGACGCGATTGGTGATGAGAACGGGCCACTTAATCAAGCCCAACTCATGCTTGGCGTGGAGGCCTGCCCGTTTGATGCTATGGAAGAGTTCCTTTCCGTAGACACCTTTGCAAAGCTCAACCGACAGTTGTCCACAACCCCTGGCCAGAAAAACATCCATCTTCTCCCCGTCTTTCAAGGAGCTAACTTGACCTTTGGTCCCGGTTTTGTCTTCGTCTTGGACCTTCCGGAGCCCGTCGATGGCATGGATAATCCGGTCAGTGGCCAGGGTGGTAGGACCGGGACCAAGCTGCTCTCCGAAGGCCGCTCCTGCCTTCCTGAGGAGACCTTGGCCCAATCCTAGATCGGGGAGGGCGGTACTACCTTCTTGCCCGATGGCCTGGAGGCCCACTTGCCCGTGACTGGCAGTGACGGAAGGGAAAAGCTGGCTCGTTGCTGTGAAGGGAGTGCTCCCCAGGTTGAGGAGTTGATTTTCCTGAAGCGTTGCCCTGACTAACTACCAAACTTGAGCTTTGGGCAAGTCCCGGGGGGAGAGGAGGAGGAGGAAGTGGGGGCGGACCGACCTCCAACGGGGATCTTCTACCCCAGGATAGGGGGTCCTCCGCCGGGGCCGGTTCAGCCTTTGGGGTGTCAACGACCCCTAACACACTCAACTGCACAACTTCAGGGCTCACCCCGAAAGCGGTGGCGACCAAAGTGATTGCCTCGCTGACGGATGTGCCCGAAGCCCTAGCGTCCCTAAAAGACTCCAGGAGCAGAACAGGGTCCACTTCGGGTGGTACACCTTCATCTATCCCGTCATTCGGGATGGCTTCCGAAACAGTGACAGTGGGGGGACGAGGTGGTGTTCCAAACTCGCTTTCTTTCGAGGCAGCGGAGCCTGCAAGGACCCTACCTTCATCGTGTCCGAGAAGGACCATTTGCGGATCCGTCAGGAGTCGCCTCAGATCCTCTGGGCGGAGACTAGAGGGTGGTTCACCTTCCCCTTTAACCCTTTTACCGTCCCAGTCCCAGGCGTGAGAGGCGCTTGGACTGACAGGCCTCGGGCTTCCAGATCTGAAGGAGGTGAGTAGAGAAACTCCTGCAACCAAGCTCTGGGATATCTGCTGGAAGAATCCGTCCTGGGCGGATCGCCAAGGAAATGCCACGGGAGGCTGAGCCTTAAACCCAGAGAGCGAATTTTCACAGCTGCCCGTTCGGTACGCCGGCTGTCCTCCGCAATGCCCTCGACTTCCCCAAGGAATAGATACCAGCTCGTAGCCATTCCTGTCCCAAAGAACGGACGAATGCGAATGAGCAATGGCGCCCCCGCTTTAGGGTGTGCTGAACGTTCGTTCTTTGACGGAGGCTCGTACTCGGAGGCAATCCCTACATTCCTAGGGCTAGGCCCGGGTGAGGCCTGGTCAGAAAAACGGACAGCACGGATGGATCCGGTATCACGTTGGGCATCAGCAGATTGGGCTCTACGTATAGAATGGAGGAGGGACTCCTCGGGTTTGGGACCCGAACTCCTGGGTGCCGGACTCTGAGAGCGACCGCTCTCTGACAAATGCTTGTTGCAAAGGGGGGTCCCCTTATGAGCACCGTAGGTCTTGTTAAAGCAGGACAAAACACTGCACTTCCTCCCTTGACAAGAAAGCATATATAGCTGACTGTGATGGTTGCAGAGGCGAGCACACTCCCTTCCTCCTAAATCAGAAAGCTGAAGGTCATCAACCAACAATCGAGTGGGCTCGCTTGCCGCCTTGTCTTCACAGCCCTCGGGAGCCAAAGCTCGAGGCTTCCCCTGGAGCTCTAGCCCTACCAAAACGGCTTCACACGGGTCGGACACGACCTCGGCCTCCGACTCGGAGTCAGGATCCAGAGGGCGAGTCACCCCTTGGTCTCGAATTTGGCGGTGCGCCTCAGTAGATCTTCGGCAAGAGCAGCAGCGCCAACATTGTCCAAGACCTCGCCGAAGTGCCCGGGCTCCTCGCCAGCAGAGGACGAGTACTCGCCAGCTGTTCAAACGTCCGTAAGCCCCCAGATCAATGACTGCGTCGGCATCGATAGCCGCATAAGCCTTGCAGTGAAGATCCCCTTCCTGTTGGCAATCTTCCGTGCGGCAGAGGTGAATCTGCGGGGCTCGCTCAACCTTCTCCCTCAGGCTGCGGGCGGTGACACCCAGAACTTGACCGGGCTTGATCCACAGCCCATGCCGATCGACTCGGGTTCGTTGGGACCAATCAGGCTGCAGACGGATTGCGCCTTGCTCAAAACGGAGAACCAAGTCATGAGGTCGTCGTCCAGCACCCCGACCCCGTACTTGTCTCTGGTAGTACTCAGTGTCCACCGGGGCGGATCCACCAGGGCCGACCAACGAGACAGTAGCGTACGCCTGTGGGGCGGGAGTCTCGGGAAGATGCTGAAGGGCAGGATCCACTCCAGCCCTTCGAGAACCACGTCCTCGCCGACAGCAGCAGAAGTCACAGCAAAGGCATCTCTCACATGTCCTTAGCGACCACGCTAGGGCGGTTATCACCAAGGTCAGGAGCACGGCAAGGGTAGTCCAGCCAGCGATCGGCCAGAAGCGCCCAAAGCAAAGAACACCGGCTTTGTCCAGGAAGTACAAAGCCCAACCTCCATCGGTTCCCAAGGTCCCCAACTGCTCAGGGGTGGAGAACACCGACACATTGGCCCACCCGAAGAGGACCTTGAAACTCCATTCGCTCCACCACACTGACATAGTTCCGGAAGAAGTGGGTCCATTGAGCGGTTCGCCTGGGGGCGGGCCGCCCAATGGAGGAGAGCTCGACTCGGTGAGGTTTCCCGAGGACTACCATGGGAGCCAACTCTCAACGAGAGTCGCGGCCACCAAACAGTGACCAGCGAGGGCAACCACGGAGCGAGCCATTATGGCAATGTCCCTGATACCAAACTTCAACTGAGCCGAAAAGTCTTGAGACACATCGGCTCATTCACTTGCAGAACTCTATGTTATCACTAACGAGCAAGACTAGCAGCACCGCGCTCCCAAGTAGGAAGCACATAGGCTTTAGCCCTGTCAGGAGCCTTTTCGTCCTTCTGCATGGTTCGTGGCAGGAGTAAACCAATCATTGCATGCTGAAGACTTTGCAATCTGGAGAGCCTCGCAAGATCGTCAAAGGACGACCGAACCTTTACATGGTATCTTTCCTACCTCAAGCGACGATCGAAGATCGGCCACCTGAAGGATGGCATCAGCTCCGTAAGCTTTGTGAAGCAAGACAAGAGAAGCATCACGAGGCGCGGGATGATCAACCGAGGAAGGGACGGAGTTGTCCCGGCAAGTCCCTTTTGCGGCACTTCCACCCTTCTTTCCCTGGCCCTTAGCACCCTTGGCGATGACATCACGGCCAGATTTGGTTGAAGGAGTTGCGGCAGCCTGGTCGAGACCAGGCGGGACGGTTGGCAGAGGCCGAGGAGGCTTTGCGAGCAAAATGGAAGCGAGCAGGCAACGGGCGATCTGCTGTCACGACCCTTGCCCTTTCCTTTGCCACCAGACTCACCCGGGCTGTCCGTTGCCATCCTTATCATTTGCAGATTTAGGCTTTTTGCATGGTCTCTCGGGCGAGTCACTTGAAACCTCAGGTTGGGCACGAGCTTGTTTGGGCCTCCTGCCAAAGCCCGTACCTTTCTTTGCCGGAACAAGCAGGCTGACAAGTCTCCGGAGCAATGTGCCTGGTTGCCGTCTGGACCTTTCCAGGGCCCTCTGGACAGCAATGGCCGGGCCAATCTCCTGCTGGTCAGCCTCATCCGTGGTTGCAGCCGACCCATACTCTTGCTGAAAGGACTTAACTGCCCCTTCGAGCATCTCCAAAAGTTTGTTTTCCGCACCTTCGATGCGGCGATGCTCGTTCACCTTGGCTCCTCCTCCCCCCTTTCCGCCTCCACGACAACAGTGGTTCAAGCCAGTGACATGAGGCGCAACACGTGTGCGACCACACGTCTGCCACGGCCGAAACGGGCAAGTGAGAGCAATGACAAACAGTGAAAGCCAGGGCTTTCTGTTTTGATGAGCGAATGGTGAGTGCACAAATGAGGTCCCACAGACCGTCTGGCAGGAAACCTGAGACGCCAACCCTTGCGTGCATAAGCAAACCTTCGCCCTCCGATCAATCTGCATCGAGTGACATTCGGAGTATCTCTAGCACAGAGTCGCCTCGTCAAAGCTGGCCAGTCGACAAGAGCAGCACAGCATTGGAAACACCCAGCAATGGCAGTGAAAAAACCCACAACTCCAAAGTCCGTAAGCCTCAAGCTCAAACCTCCCGAAGGCACAACGGCGTGGACACATGACGCAGAAGTGTCAGCATCAGGTAATCGATTGACGGAGGTCGTTGCGCCGACGACGGGAACAAGACACAGAAACAAGCAGAGCACAATTAACTGTGCAAGCAAACACCTTGCGTAAGATCTGCGCCCTGGCTCGCGTTTCGCCACCAACAAAAGTGCCCCCTTCGACCACGGGGAGGTACGTCCCACCGAGCCCGATTTGGGTTCTACGTAGAGAAGAGCTGCACCGAACCCGACTGGGGTCCCACCGTAGAGAAGAGCTAGGACCCACCAGGTCCCACCAAGGCTGGTGGTTTTGAGGGCCCGATTTTGGGTCCAGAAAATGCTCATGCTTCCGGCTTCAACGCTCCATAGTACTACCACTACCACTATCACTATCATTATCACTATCACTACCACTACTACTTCAACTACTACTGCCTACTCAACAAGAGCTCCAAGAATCATGGCTCCTCCTCTCCTTGATTTGCACATTGCTCTACTTCGGTCCAACAGGTTCTAGCCTCCTCATGACCGGCCGTTTCAGGAGCTCCGGCACCCTTGCTTGGCAGCCGACCCGACCTTGCAAAGTCCAGCACAGTCAACTTGAAAGCCGCTAAGCCGGATAGGGGAAGCTTCTGGGTTGCGGGCCCCAGCGCTGAAGTGGATTCCAGCTGCTCCAGGAGACTGTCTGTGACCTCGGCGGCAACACGCACAAGTTCTGTCTCCTCGGCCCCGAGCGGACCCAAGGCGCCCTGCCTGCGACGATTACTCCTGTACTCGGACTCCCAACAACCCTTGCTTCCCCGGCGGAGGCATTGGGCGTTCTCGGCAGCGGACATCCCCGACGACCTGCTCCTCTGCAAGACTATTGCTTGTAGCACGTGGTCAAGAGTCCAATACGACGGAGGCCAAGGCTATGATGGAGACCGGGAGCCAGCTCTGCACTTGAGAGCTCACATAGAATCGGCCACCCGATTCAGGCCTCTGCCTCTGGCTTTGTGGTGGAGTTGTGGTCGGCTGCAGTCACCGACGGCGAAGTTGCCTGACAAGAAAACTTCTGGCCAGAATCACGATAATAAGTTGCCTCCTGCTGCTCGAAAAGAACACGGACCGTCATACGACTGTCTGATCAGCAGCGATGCAGCAGCCGCTGCCTTCCCGTCCGGTTCAACGTCCTCTTCTTCCAACAAAGCCTCGGCGCACACTTCGGCAGAAATGTTGACAATCCCTTGGCTTGTCCCTCTTTCTTCCTCTGAGCGAGTCTGTGCCTCCCCGCCCGCCATTCGCCAGCTGAGCTTTTTCGCTGAGGCGTCGAGGACGACCTGCATCACTGGTTGTCACACCTGTAAGATCCTGTAAGCATCGTCTACTGATTATCGACAACCTTGCAAGGCGCCCTTGTCCGCCGTGGCCCGGGAGTTGAAAGAAGGCTAAGATTCGCACAGTGCTCGCTGGATAGTCGGTGTTGTGTCTGCCAACCTTCCATGCGACGCACCGACTCACTGCCCGAGGAGTGGTGAAAAGTAACAGAAAGCTTCACTTTTCTGTCGAACTTGCCTCGTGCACAAGGCCCAAAAAGTCGCGTGCGAGACTTTGCACCCAACTTCAAGATGACTGCAAAGATAAGGTGTCCAGAACGACTGCCGGACTCATCGTCATCAGCACTGAAACAAAGTCATCACCACCATCACCACCATCATCCTCCTCGTCGTCATCATGACCGACGTCATCGTCGAAGTTGTCGTCGCCGTCGTCGCCGTCGTCCTCGTCCCCCTCCTCGTCATCGTCAGCGTCATCATCACCATCATCGACATCATCGTCATTCTTAGCACCATCATCGTCGCAATCACCATCAACGTCCCTTTTCGGCCAGAAAGGAGCGACGATTTTTCTGGAAACAGCTGCTGTTTTCCAGTCGACCACATGTGGCCTGCGAAGCTCAGCCAACTCTGCTTCTGCCTGCCCCAGGACCGTGAGAACATAGATACTGTCACAGAGAAAAGCGTAGCAAGCAGCTTTTGCGGATGCCTGTTGACTTTGCTCCGCCATACTCTGCTGCAGCGCCCGGATCAGCTGCTTGTGACCTCTCTTGACGAGAAACACAGCGAAACTTAGAGTCACAGGGGTTAGTGCGCACAGAAAGTTCAGAACTTCTCCCACATCCCTGTCATTGCCCTCCTCTTTGCTCGGCAGCGCAACTAGTACCGCTGCCATCCCAAGAAAACAGATTCTCAACACTGAGCTCAGCGACTTTCACAGCTTGCAGCTGCATCCGCCGCCTGTTCAGAGAGCTGTTGGCGAGCCTGTCGGGTGAGGTGTTGCAGTCATCCAAAGCACGGCCCACAGCAACTTGACAGGATTACGGACGGGCTGGCTGCCCGGAAATCGCAAGAGACTGTGAAACCCTGCGAGGACGTACGAAGCCTGGGCTACCGACTGCTCCACATGAGCTCGGCGCCTCTTTGAGCTCAGCTAACTCCGACGATCGCCTGGATTCCGTGGGTTTACATAAAACACACGGGGTCTGTCTGTACACATATATACAGATTGTATACATTATACACATGTGTACATATGCAAACGACATACCACTTCTACATATGCAAACACACACACACACGGTGGTGAGACATCCCCTAAATTCACCAAGGGGCATGTCAATGTATATCTTCGATAATAGGCCCATGCGCCACTCAACCAAATCAAATCAGGCCGTTCCCTCTTGTAACCCTCTGCAAGTCTCAGAAAACCTTCCACAGGACAAGTTTCTCTAGACCGAAATCCGAAGCCCTGACCCAGAATCCTACAGCCTAGAAGTTTACCCCGGCTCGAACCGTTAAACTAAACAAAGGTTGGGCTCCGGTTTGCCAAGAAGGGTTTGAAGTGCAACAACTTTGCACATGGCTGATTCGGATCTCGCACCAACCGTGCATAGCGGGGAAGCCACGAACCCTGATCCCCAAGCCAGCCAAAAGCTCATACAGGCTACATCTTTGCCGACCCTGATATCGGCGGATTCTTAGTTCTTGTGCGAATATCATGGTATCTATCGAGATGCTCACGTGCGTTTTAATGATTCTCATATTTAATGTTTCGAGCTGACTTTACAAGGTGACGGCTTGTCAATTGCTCCACTGAAAATGACGCAAACCTTCTGCTGGTTTCCTTTCCAGTTGGTTATGCCGATATCATGATGCACGTAGAGTTGCCGGATGTCGGCATATCGTGCTCCGAGAGTAATGCTTCTCTCCGGCCCCTGCGCGACATTCTGTGCGCGAGTAACCCCCCCCCCTAATATTAAAACCCCCTCCCCCCCCCCCCGCTAATATCAAAATAGATTTCCGGGAGTCTATTTTAATATTAAGGGGGGTCTGGGTGCATCACCTTAAACCCAAAACCTTGAGACCCAAAGCCCTAAGCCCTCAAGCCCAAAGCCCTAAAGCCCTAAGCCTTAAGCCCTAAACCTGCAGCCCCAAGCCCTGCAGCCTGAGCCCTAAAGCCGCAAGCCCTAAACCCTTAAACCCTAAAGCTCTGGTCTCTTCGGTCTGATTAGTACCGCTGCAGTCTTTGGCTCTATTAAAACTCATGCAATCCTAGGCCCCCCCTAATGGCTTTAATTAACTTTCAATTGTGGGCCCGAAACCGCGAAATTCAGGGGGCGAGTTATCTTTATATTAGGGGGGCTTTCATATGAGGGGGAAGGGATTATATGAAGACTTGCCTGCTTCATCTGAATAGGTGTCGCGGCTTTCAACTAATTATTGGGTTGAGGGCCGGTCCGTCAAACCACATACCAGCAGGGACACTTTAGGGCTTTGGGGATGTCACCTCTCAAGCAAACTTCAGCTATCCCGAGCATTGGGCAGGCCATCAACCTAAAACCCGAAAAATCCCTGTCTTGTACACCAAGAAGTCGCACTCTAGGACTCCAGTACCCTGGATTCGCACATCAGGATTCGCAAATGTTGTCGCGGATTCGCGCACGGACGATTCGAGCTAGTGCTCGGCGCAGACAGATTCCCGCCCACGGGCCGGATTCGGGGCTTCAGGGATTCGCCCACTGGCCACGCGGATTCGCGCACCGACACGACGTTCTGCAGCACTTCGTGCACTTCCGCTCAGTCCGGCCGGCTCAGCAAAACTGGGAAACGTCTGGGGGGGGGGGGCTGATTATCTGGAGATCTGATAAGAAAACTAAAACCCTATGACATCGCCGTACAATCGCCTTCAAGTGAGGAGCAAAATCCTCGTAGACTTCGGATTATTTTCCAGATCCGCCCTACAAAGCCATCACGACCTCTGAAATAGAAACCATGAGCTTTCAGGGATTGTCAGCACTGTTTTGGGATTGGTGAGATACCGAAGCTTAAAACCTGAAACCCGAAAGTCCTGAAGCCCAAACCTTAAATACCCGAAACCCTGAAAGCCTAAGCCCTATGTACCTGAAAACCATAATGAAACCCGAAAGCCAAGGAAAATCATAAAAATCCCAACATCTGAAACCCTAAAAGCCAGACCATAAAAACCGAATACCTGCAAGTTGCCTGCAAGCCTACCCTGCCATGTCGAGTCCGAACTGTTTGGTGATTGAATCGCCTGGCCGGTGCTCGAATTTTTCGCTTGAGGAAATCACCCGGAACCGCCGCTTGGAGCTGAGTGCCCCAGCGAGTAGTGTTCAGCCTCGCAAGCCTCCAATCGGGAGCGTGCCTCGGAGGCCTCAAAACGACAGCACTCGCTGAACACCCTTTAGGCAGAAGGAAAAGGACGCAGCAGTTTCCCTCACCCCCTGCGACATATTCCGGCTGGCAAGCCCGTGCCTCCAGTTGCAGCGTTTGTGCCAGCTTGCTGGCTTCCACCGCCTCACACAGATTTCCCGTTCTGACGTGGCCCATGACCAACGCTTGTGCGCCTCAAAACTTGAGAGCGAGCTCAGGCGTTTTGATGATGCCAAGGAGACGCAGAAGTGCTGGCCACGTCCAGGGCCTCCTCTGAAGCCTCTACGGCCTTGCGCTGGGCTGCAAGCAGCGCATCTTGGTGCTCGGCCTGGGTTGAAGGCTGACGAAGCTATCACTTCAATGCTGCAGCTCACTCTCATACGCCTCATTGTTGAAGCTTCCGCGACGGCACTGCTGTAGTTCATCCTCCAAGCAACACTTGTGTCTCGATGCCAGGGCAGCGAAGGGGGCGAAGGCTGTGGCCATCTGTGCTGAAAGGCTTAGCCCTTTTTGATGCTCAAGTTCTGCACAGGCCTGCAACGACTGCACTCGCTGTTCCAAGATGGACCTTGCTTCCCGCCACTCCTGCGAAGGGGGTGTGCAAGCAAGTGATGTTAGCCTGCGAACTTACTCTGGCAGGAACGTTTCACGCCAACAAGACTGGCTGGCGAGTCAGCGTAAGATTCCTAATAGAGCACCCAGGCATGCGTGCTTGTCAAGCAGATGGCTTCCATCAGGATGTCGATGACACGAACCACCACGAACCCGCTACCACACTGCCAGTCCATGTAAACAGCGCAATGCTGAAGCTTCGATTTTGTGGGCTTTTCGGACGGTCGGGTCTGCAGCTGGAGTCTAATCATTGCTTCAGCTGGAGCATGCTGTACCTGGCCACGCGGACAAGATGCTGTTCCAACGTCCAACGTGTACGCGTAGTTTGCGAGTCTCAGAGTGCATCGTGAGTCCCCCCGGGGGACGGCCGCCGAGGCGGAATCACGAAAGCAGCCCGCCGGGCGCTGAGGCCCCGTCACAGTAAATGAACCGATATTTCCCAAAGTCGCCAGCAGCATCACGTGTCCCCAAACCTAGGCTCTGCTAAACATCCGAGTCTGTCCCAACATGACGCCTGAATTGCGTTCCGGGAGACCCCTTCCGGAAGCTTCTCAAGGCCGACAGCCAACGATATGACGATGGCGGTAGCCTCATCATCAAGGATGCATTTAGCAAGTAAGCGGGTGACATCGTATTGCTTACAAGTGCCTTGTTGAAATTGCCAGCGAAGGTGGTGTACGTAGCTGACATCGAGTGCACCAAGGAGTACTGCGTCACATTGTACCAAGCAGCAAAGACACCGAGCAACATCCTGAAGAAGAGCACGCGGGCAATCAAACCACAAGGAATTACCCCCCTCCCCCCCCAGACATTGGCAATGCTTTGCTATGCTGCTATGACGTAAACTGACATGAGCTACTTCTATCTCTCTCTGGGACGAGCATCGCTAAACCAAGCACCCCGGGAGCCAGGTCGTAGACCTTGCAGTGAACCTGATGCGGGATGCATGCCGAGAAAACGATGCAAGTGCTGTCAACGCAGAAAACGCTACTGCACCATTTGGGGCAGTTTGCGACATATGCTTTCATGGTGCCCAGATTGCTGCACAGCCCAATCCGTCGAACAAGCTCTGGGCCTGGAAATCAGTCATCGATGGCTGACCCGGCCAGCTGGGATGTGACAATGCGAAGCTCGGAACCAACCTGCAGCAAGTTGGTAGATTGCAGATTGTTTTGCGGAAATTTGTGCGGAGTTCATGCTCAGATGCACGGTTGTGCAGGGATCATAAATTAGCCGGTATCGAAACAGTTAAACAGATGGGTCCACTGATCAAGTCCAAACGCAAAGCTGAACAGCATGAAACGGACACAGCAGCTGGAAGATGGTGCTGCCCCCCTTCTCCTTTGTGAGACTTTCGGCCGCCATGGCCTACATGCATCGAAGAGGTACTTCAAAACAAGAACTCATGCTTACGTCGCCACTACTGCTGCGACGATTGAATGCGCTCGAAATTCTCCCGGGGGCATCATGCTCTGATGTGCTCTACTTCGAAAGCCGGCATGAGTTAAAGATACCCATCAGGACTCTCAGAGCAGTTCTCAAGTAGAAGAATATCCGATCCATCCATACCGGCCTGTATTCAAGCAAAGGCCTCAACAAAGGAACAGGTCAGGCATGCATGGCCGGACGAGGCTCTCGCAACGGAAGAAACCGGAGGGACAAGTCTGCGCGACAGGAGATGGCAGAGAGGCAGGCTGACTGGCTGTGCGTGCGTGAGCAGCTGAGCACCATTCCTGCGAATCGCTTCAGGCCAAGAAACAGCATCACCGCTGAGGGCAGCCCCATGTAGAAAGTCATATCCTGCTTTTCGGATTTGGCTTTGGGCATCACTGAATCACGGCACGGCCCGTTGCCACACGTCACACTGGAGTCTGACAGCGTTGCAGTCCAAGACTCTAGTGAACTCATCTGCATGGATGATCCCAACTCGCAGGCCAGGACCATGTTCAGAGCCCCAGCAAAGATTGAGACGATGCAGACAAGCACCTTGACACTGCGTGCGCGGATTCGAGACAGTCTTTGAAGGGCGAAACTTGTTGCATGTCGGTCGTGCTGCTCCGTCCGTTTACACGAAACCCACTGCACTTCGACATTACGGCGAGTGCCTTGCCTCTTCGAACAGCATATCGGCCAGCGAACATCACGGGACAGGAAACAAGACAGACAGTATTTGCAGATCCCTTTTCCAAGGGCCTCGCTCCTGTCAGGATCGCATCGGGGTTCGCGGTGCTGCCCCTCTGGGCCTTCCAACGATCTTCCCAAGTTCACCGACGAGCGCTGCTGTAACATTGAGTCGTGGAAAGCGGCAGCCCATGAATCATCTGAAACTTGTCACATCCTGCCTGTGACTGGGCCAGTGTTGCCAGAGCTGCGCAGGCCACCCCAGCCAGCATGCAAAGAATTTCCTTTGATGCTTGCCCATGCAAAGGAAGGCCCTTGTCTGACTCCGACATGTCTCCAGGCTTCCTCGTAAGTCCTTGTTCCAAGCAAGGTTCCTGCTTGTGTTGCAAAGCTCCTGCACATGGCAAATTGGGGCCCGCAAGCCAAGCCCGGATCTTCATGCAAACTGTAATTGAAAAGAAGATCTCACGAACCTCGCCTTTGGCCTCAATTTTGGCTGGATGTGCAAGCACTTGCACAATAGCAGTGGCAATCGGGAGGCAGGATCGGATTATCAAGTTCATGGACAGCGGGAGGAACCTGAGCGCGTGGTCGCAAAAGGATGGTCTGCAGAGATCGCGTTTCGGCCTTGTTCCGTGATCTAAGAATCTAAGACACGAACTGAAAGCTGAAGTTGTTGAGTCCTGGGCTTTCAGATGCAGACAGCTTGAAGTTCTACGATAGGCCTTTCAGAAGTCTCAGCCGGGCCGTTTATGCTGCTGATTGTGACAGAGAGAGAGGGAGGGAGAGAGAGAATACACACATACACACACATGCACACATACATACATACATACATACATACATACATACATTACAAGCATACGTGCATACATACATCCATGCATGCATGCATGCATGTGTAATGACTACATACAGAGATGCACACTCGTTTACATGCCGGCTTACACAGGGGATTGATCTGCAAAGCGTGTCGCCGGCCGCATCCAAAAGACATACCCCCCATGAGAACAATGCATCTTCTTACTATTGCTTTCGGCGTCCAATGTTCGCGGCAAACGCTGCCGAGAACAGCAGTATTCTGTAGACGTCGCTCAGCTTGGTCAGCGGCTTTGGCCGGTACGGCCTCCAGACTGCACATGCTTCTGCAGAAAAAACTCAGAAACAGTCTTGATCTGCATGAGCATGATATTTTCAGCACCTCTGGCAATGACGAGGCTGAAATGATGATGCTCTCGCGAAGATCTGCAATGATAGCACTGTAATTGAGGCAGTGTCCAAGGTGTCATCCAGGAGGTGACGAAGCCAGCTCCAAAGAGCACGAAGCAAATTATCTGGTGTATGGCCTCGGTAGTAACGAGACCCCGGTGTTTGGGCATCTGCGTTGTTTCATTGTTGCCTTCTCAGCAGAGGCGCAGTCATGAGGAAGGCCCCTGGCAGCCCATGCAGGCCGAGCTCTTCAGAGACGACGGCACTGGAGATCACAACTTTGGCAAATAGGAGCATGCCTCACTGGCATAGGGCATAAGTGCTGCGAACCCTTCCGGTTTACCATACCCGGAACAATGTCAAGATCTAGACACAAAGGATGTGGCATCAAGCCCACAACGTACAAATAGTTTTCCATGTCGATACATGTTCAATGTCAGTACCTACGTACCGCGACCAGAGGAGAACGGGACATTCCGGCAACGAGATGCTGTTTCTGCTCTGTGAGGGGACGAATGTCTTTCGGGTTGACCCAGCAGTGGTGCAACAAGTGAACATCATTACAGCCACCCGAAATATACTCTACCGAAGTTAGATGCTCCCGGGTGAGGCAAAGCATGAACCGGGAGTGTGATTTGGACAACCTCTCGAAGTGATGCCTCGGTGAGCCAAGAGTGCCATTTTACCCCGCCTGTCTGAGCACCGAAGTACACTGCGAGCTGCGCCGGTGTCCGAAGAGACTCGATCTGACGACCTTGGCGCGCACAACTCTGCTTTGTGGCTTCACCAGTTTGAAGGCAGTGTGAGAAATCACGATAACGCCTGAGGGCCGTAAGCCACCAGCATGGCAAGCCGATACACAGGGCAGCCAGCGGGATGCAAACCTGCTCATACCGCAATGCATAGCCAGCCCTCTCGATCTCAGAGTGGTCCAGCCTCCTTGAACAATCTGTAGGACGCCTCGTACACTGGCAGATACGACCGAGGGCAAACGGCTGGGATCATGAAGGGATCTCAAATGCAGGCCCAGCAGCCGGCGACGTCGCAGGCACATTGGCCACTGCACTCCTGGTCCACAGGCAGCACCGTCAATCAGACGTTCAAACACCTCTCTGTCTCTGTCCTGCAGCTGAACGAAAGTCATGAACATGCTGGTTCTGGCAACGATGCATTGCAGACCTTGTCTTCTCGAACAGAACCACAAGTGTCACCTTAGAGGTCAGCCCAATCATATGCAGACATGTGGAGGACATGCAAACAAAGGGAGACCCAGGACCTAAGCAGACCGTGCGGGGCTTTATGGGCATAAGTGTGCCAGGGCACCGTCGCCGCGAGCACAAGCCCACGCCCTGGCAACGAATGTGTGCAAACACGGCATAAACACGTTAGCCCAATCTTCCTTGCTGATAGTGAACCCGCGGTATGGGCCAAGGTAAAACGGCAAAGACCTAAGCATACCTGAGTGTCTCGCATATTTTTGCTTTGCGCGGTGTTATGAAGGGAACATGTTCACTAGCTTGTGGCTTGCAGCCAGAGTTTCACACGCAGTCATCCCGAAAATGATGAAATGCATTTGTCGGTCAATCTCTAACAGCATCATGATCCGGCCGTTCTGTCTTCAGCACGTGCAAGGATTGCGGCGTTGGGGCCAGCGCTGGCTCCGTGCCACGAGCGTTGCGACCTTCAAGGCTACACGGACTTTCTCGCCGAGCCATCGGTCAAGCCTTCCTGCCCCCCAACCACACCTGGAAGACCGATATCATCGGGCTGAGACCAACAACTTTCTTGATCCCCCATGCGCACATGAGACATCAGCCTTCATGATGAGCTATGGCAGCTATGGCTCAAGCGCCGGGGCGAGCCATGACTGCCAATTTCTACCAAATCCCTCAAGGTGCTTGCAAACAATTCCGCAAAGTGGACAAAGCTAGAACAACAACTGATGATCGACAGCAAGATGTGTGACGCATGTGTGTGTGTGTGTGTGTGTCTGTGGGTCTGTGTGTGTGAAACCCTGTTCCACATGTTCACACATGTAGACAATGCAAGGGGGCATCCCTTTTGTCCTTGGTGCATGGCCAACGACGAGGCTACTGACAAGAGCTGAAAACCTACCTGCACTAAGATTCGAAAGTCAGATCGGTGAGCATAATTATGCAGATAATGAAAAAAACGAAGAGATGCAACAGGATGATAGAGTCAGCATGACCAGATTGGAAAAGCAGATGAAACTAGCTTGCTAACCCGTGCCATGACTGTGGTCATATTGAAGGTCATTCCACGTGTCATACTGCGGTAGGACGAAAGTTTGACCTACTCCTTGTTTCGTCGAACACAGGCCCCCATTCCCCCATAGACTCCTAGCACACAGGACCCACCGGTTACTCCTCCGGGACATTAAAGTAGTATAATTTTAAAACGGGGTACAAAATACTCCGCTGGCCAGGCCACGTAAATCGCACTTGTCGCTACTCCGCTACTCCGCAAGATGCCTTAAGACAAGAAACGCCCAGTAGGTCAAAACATTCGTCCTCCCGATGTAGTGCCGGTCGCGAGGCTCCAGCTTCTATGCAGACAGCTCAGTGGCCAGAAGGATGAGCCCAACAGATTCTACAAAATACTCTCCTCTCCTGCATAAATGCTGAAAGATGATGGGACAGTGTCTACTTGTGCTCCTACCATACAACTTCCCCTATCATGCAACCTGTGTGCGCAATGATTCCGCCTACCATGCGATTGGTGTCAAGGAACGCTTCAGCTACAACTTGTGTCCAGCACGGCAAACCTAGGAGAGAGCGGCTGGGGTTTCGCCTGCGAAGCTCTCGACATTGAATAAAGAGCGATATGGGCGGGGCTGCGGCTCAGACCAGCGAACTCCCATATTCGCACGTCAAAACACGGAAGACGATGCGAGTAGCTGCGGCTTCGTCCAGCAGTGATCACAGGAGACACAAGCATAACGGAGAGACTGGCTGCGGTCTCGCCTGTGAAGCTCTCGACCTTGGGTAAAGAGCGATATGGGGGGCTGCGGCTCAGACCAGCGAACTTCCGTATTCGCATATGTAACAAATTAGAAGATGAATATGGCAGCGGCTTGCCCATCGAAGCTCTCATGCCGCAAGCAAACGGATGATTGCAGTTATTGATTGTTGCCTCAAAGTTGAACGCGAGCAATGGGCACGACTCTCCCATCGCCACAAACTCTTGGCACACGTACTCATCACCCTTTTCATTTCACCGTCTTGACTCCGGAAGGCCACATATGCATACAGGAAACGTACCTCTCCACCCGTTGTGCACTCTTTGCGTGCGTGCTCATCAGCCTTTCATTTCACTGTCCTGTCCCCTTCATAAGGGCACTTGTGTGTGTGTGTGTGTGTGAAACCCTGTTTCCAAGGGTCACAGATGTGAAGAATGCAGGGGGCCATCATGGGCCATCCCTGTTGTCATTGGTGGATGGCCAGCGAAGAGGCCAGTGACAAGAGCTTAACACTAAGAGTCGAAAATCAGATCCCAGACCAAATGAAGATGTTGAAACAAATCGAAGAGATGCAATGGAAAAGCAGATGCTAGCTGCGAACCCATGGTATGACCTCGGTCATATTAGAGGTCATTAAAAGTGTGTGCCTGGGTTAGTGCTGCCTGCGTCTTGCGTACATGTATGTCTGTATGTGGTTCCTGTTCATAGCGAAGTAGAGGGGAATCGAGCGCATGACGGCTGCGGACACCATTCCAAAGTTTCGCGGAGTGTCAGTGACGAGAAGCATCCAGACCAACAAGTACTCGTCATGTGGCTTGGGAGATGCAGTCGGCTGGCAGCACTCGCACATGGCAGAGATGAAGGCAGGCCTGCTCCTTCATCTGACTACTGCTGTGAAGATCCGCGTACCGGGCCTGTGATTTCAACTTGTACCCTCTACACGAAGCAATCATGGGGCCGATGTGGATGCCACAATCGCACAACAGCGCTGACCTACGAACTAGGATCTCGGACTGAAGGGCCTCTTTTCACAGAACATCTTAAGTCTTTAGCTCAGTGAAAGCGGACGGTAGGAGCCGTAGGAGCCTGCGTGCCTCGGCTGTCTGGGCTGCCTGTTGCTTCATCGTCTCCGACGCCCTGGATTCCTCACCGCAAGATTTCTTTGGATTTCGATGTTCGAACGCAAGGCCTGTCCTCCGCCTCAGCCCGCAGCACCTCCACCTGCTCCTGAGAGGCCGGTGACTACAACATGCCTTGCCTCTCGATTCGAGGAACCTAATCTTCCAGATGCTCAAAGAATCTCACAGATGCATCCCCGCTTTGAAGCTGCGCCTGCAAACTTCGGACTCGGCCCTCCAACAGAGCTTGCGCCACCTACCAGCGGCGAAGTTCTTCAAGGCCGTGCTTGTGGCTCCAGGCTCAACATGGCTTAACTACTGGCCGGGGGCCGGGTGACCTTTGTACAGCTTCCTGTTGCCTCCACGCGGTCGTCTCGCTGCGTGGCACTGCTGAGCAACTCCTTTCGAAACTTTGCCGCGGCAGCTCAGCTCTCCATACAAATTCGACCGTGAATGGCTCCTGGCACTCCGCATGGGCTTGCTCCAGTTCCTTGCAGGTCTGCTTCATTCTGCGACAGTCTTCACACTTGAACATTGACATGTCCGCGCCCAAGTCCAGCTCTCGACTCGAATTGCCAAACAATGCTTTCTCGGAAAGCAAGTTGCTGTTTTCGTGAACACATCTGAACACACAGAGCTGAGCCGACGCTCCTGTAGTCCCTTGGAGTTCGCCGAGGTTCGAGCCCTCATGTGCTGTGAATCTTGCGCCCCAGTTTGTGAAGACTATGTTGGGGCTGTCGCAAGACAGAGTGAGGAGTGAGGTAGCGAGCCAAATAAAGGAGCCTCAAGCAGTCGAAACATGTCGAGGCACGAAGTGTTGCTTCAAACATTGGAGGTTTTTGCAACAGGCTTGACTTGACCTCGAGGGCGGACGCCGAGAGCCAGCTTTGCAGGAGTTGGACGGGTTGTGGCGAAGACGGCCGGCGACAGTGGGCGGTTTGGGATGCAATCGACGAAGCGGCAACAGTGGTGCAATCACCGGCACAAGCATTGTAGCACAGCTGCATAGCCAGGCTCCAATTATTGGGATGGCCGTCGGGCTTTGCAAGCGCCACAAGGTTTGCAAAGAAAGTGAATGTTGGCACATGAAGCAAGCACATGCAAGCACTGTGTACAAAAGGCCTTTGACTGAAAACGATTTTTGCTTCCTCGCCGCTAGGAGCTGGCGTTAAGAACTTTTGATCGTTGCGCTTCTGCTGCCACCAGATTCACCTACTGTGTACATGGCAGTGGCTGCTGCTGCCGAGGAGGTGCCTCCAGCATGGTCGCGATTCGCAAGACGATGAGCAAATGTTTCGTGATCATCCTTCGCAGCCCCAGTACCTACTCTGCCCAAGGGCAGCACGGAGGTGCCTGGGAGCTTTGGGATTCATGCTTGCATTACCTAAACCTAGCGCTATCACTGTGCAGCCCCGGCGGCACGCTCTGCTCTGCGGCTGCGCTCGTTGGCTGCATGCAGCTCTTGGCGGCCGCGGCCTAGAAATGACGAAGGACCCTTGGGAGGGCGAGGGTGGCTAGGGCACACTACGGTGCCCCGTTTGAGCGTTAGCAGGATGAGGTTCACTGAACGTGATTTGATCACTTCGACTCAGCGCTGGACGGATGCTGCCCTCCAGCCTGGCACTGAGCTGTTGACAGGGAACCAAGCTAGCAACCGCTGTAGAACAGAGTTGACAAAAGACTGATTTGCTCTCCAAGAAACTCTGATTGCTGCTGCTCTGCATTGACCCTCTCTGCTTCGGCTGCAACCTCCACAGTGCTGAGGTGCTCCCTGCGCGGCAGGCCGGCCGGACTGCTCGGACTGTGCCAAGGGACACCATACAAAGTTCTCTGTCCACTCACGTACCAGATCTTCTTGCTTGACATCCCAGCCTCAGTTTCGTTGCTTCGGCAGAGCTTTCCCGCACCAGCTCCGACAGCATCTTCGCACAGGGATGCTGAGAGTAAGCTTCATGCTATCTACTCTAGGCATACATACACAATTAATAACACATACATACATACATACATACATACATACATACATACATACATGCATGCACGCAGAGATGGTGGCGTATAGGCAAGTATGTAACGGTGTCTGTGTGTGTGGGAGCACATGTATGTGTGCATGTATGCATGCATGCACGCACGTGTAAGTATAGAAATATGTTCATATCCATATGGATGTCCATGTACGGTCACCCTGTCTACGCCCCCGCTCCCATGATCCCATGATCCTCCTTCCCTCTACATAATTCCGTCTCTGCATGTTGTCTCCCGCGTGTAGCGAACAATCTTATTCATTGTGTTTTCTCCCATTCACTAATACTTACCTCTACTTGCTTTGCTCGTTCCTCCGCGTGATTGGTAGATAGGTACATACAGGTTGAGATATAAGCAGACAGATGGGTAGATAATGGGTAGCTAGAGTCTAGAGAGAAGATAGGTAGGTAGACAGGTAGGTAGATAGGCTGATAGATAAACAAGTGAGTAGTACTGTGTTCCCGTCTCCTCCCTCCTGGTGTTTGGCTGGTCTCAAGTTGCTTGGTTGATGGCTTTTTGGGCCCTTACATGTTTGCGCGCTTCATGCATTCTCTGCTTCCTTTCTTTCGTCTCTTCGTCGCATGCTGAGACCAAAAGCCTCTTTCTGCTGGGCAGACTCGCTATGGAGCTCCTTCAGCTCCAAAGAGGCCTGAACCAGAGAAGACAAAAAAGAGACTTTTAAGGCATTCTTAAGTGTTCTTAGGGTGGCGGCTCGCACAGACTGCTGTTTGCGCCCATCGTTTTTTGCCCTTCTGTGATTGCCAGTGGCTTAAACCGATACGCTGCAACAGAGGAAGCACGGCCGGCCGCTTGGCCTCTTCCAGCTGACGCTGACGCAATGTTTCAGCATCCTGCCGTGTCTGCTATGCCGGCAGCAACCAACCATCTTTTGCACCAACACGCTGCTAAGGCGTCCTTGGAAGAGTTGTCTGACTTTTCCCTCAAGCTTTTCAACTCGTTCTCGGACTTGTCACGTAGCTGCTTGATTTCGCGCATGCGAGCCTGACAATCATGAGCTAGACAAGACTGCCAAGGACTGCTGCAGGCCGCGCCCCAAACATCCCCAAACCTCATCTCGCTCTGTTGCATCTTTGATGACCTGAACACTCCATGTGGGATTCGTCAACACCCTAGGAAAGTCAGCCAAGGCAGGAGCTTGATCGACGTTCTGCTTCAGCTCCGCCACCTTCGCCGACCTGCAGGGCTCTCGGCTCTGGAACTTCTCAGTCGTCAACCGAAGACTCGGTGGAAAGTAAGGCAACGACTCTTTCTCGAGCTTTGCAGTTAGCTTTTGACCTGAACTGTAGTCAGGGGCAACCTGGCTTGCTGCTTCGGACTCAGACAGCCGATGAGCTTTTGCAGGTTCTGCTGATGCCGATGCCGGCAACTGTTCACGCGCCAAGGTATGACTTCACACAGGGCTGGGTGACTTAAAACAACCCCCCAGTACTTCTTCCATGCGCTGCGAAAGTGTCTCTCGCTCGGCGGTCCGGTATTACGGCGAGGGAGCCCCTCGGCGCTCAGCGCGATCCTTGCTTCCATGAGGATCCCTGCTGTATGCCTGGACCGTTGGTCCATTTGAGCAGGCATACGGCGAACTTGACAAATGCTGAAACGTGTGAAGTCGGGCCGACCATGTATCACAAGAGTGGAACTGTACAGGACTTCAATCTCGCACAGTACACAGTCACAGGGCCACAGGGCAAGGAGCGTATCCAAATAGCATCCTTACTCTTCTGCACGTACAATGAGGCCAACTTATGCACCTCTGGGCAGTCAACCCTAAACCCTACTACGAAAAATGCTAAGGGTGTGCTGCTGTTAAGGGTTGTTAACCGAGGAAGAACTGGCGAGAGGAGAACAACGCAAACTGACCCCTCCGGTCAAGAGATATGACTCCCCACCTACTAGTATCGCCTTATCTGTGAAGGCGCACTGCAGCCGACAAAAGGCCCCGCATGCCACGCGCTTTAAGCAAACGGGGGCTGGGTCGGTCTGTTCGGCCCAGCTGCAATCGTCTTGACTCTTTTTCAGCTGCTTTGCTGATTGGCGCGCCTGGCACCAATCATCCCGATGCATCGCATCTACGAACAGTTCGCACCGTCCGTGATGGCCTCTGCTTGTGCTGTTGACGACAGCTCCTCTGCGGCTTTCAACTTCTCGGACCTCAACAGCAGCATGTGCCACAGTCGTTGCCAGCAGTTCTGCTCGCGCTCTGACGAAGTGCACTCTGTGCTCTGTTTCTATAAGCCGGTGCGATACGGCCAGACAAGGGACACATAGCTCTCCAACCCATCCAATCAAGGCCGAAGCATCTTTTCACCTTGCGACTTGGCATCGTCCAGGTTCTTCTGGAGCTTCTGCAGGTTTTTTTGCAGAGCCTGCATATGATTTGATTTAGATGTTGTGGCAAGACTGTTGCGAGTTCGCCAAGCTGGTGCATGCAACAAGGAAAGTGGAAACTCCATTGATGGGCATTGCCAGCATCTTTGGGTGTACGTAGAGGCCCAGACCGCCTTTGCGATGTTTGTGAAAGTGGGGGGCGAATGAGATGCGTGTCCGTAAGGCATCCGTTCCCACTCCATCTCGAACGTTCAACCCGGGGCCCAGCAAACAAGCTCTATGGTCTCTCTCATGTCGGGCGAGAAGTCGAAATCCGGGCACAGCTGAGCCTTTCCCTGCCTTAGCCCTGACTGTTCTGCAGCCACACACTACACCGTGTAGCGCTCACGGTTTGCCCCAAATGTGTATGGATCACCGACAACAGCAAACTCCACCAGCCAGGCCATCAGCTGAAATCAACAACGTATACGACCCTCCTACATACTGTGAGCTTTGCAGTTTTCCATACGGTTGACAAACTGAGTGAGAGGCCCCTTCACTCGAAGGAGGAGTCTTAAAGAGAGCTGTTTGGGAAAAATCTGCCCAAGCTCTGCATTTTCTGCCTCTCGCTGCTCCTTCCTAGAATATCTGCCGGCACGTCTGATTCATGGAATGCACCGCTGTTCCACGGCTCTGTGCAAGCAATTGCGGCTTGTCGCGCGCTGAACTTGAACTACACTGATGTCCGACCACAGCTTGGCCTCGGGCTGAGGGCAAACGCACAGCTTCCGGCCGTGGACACAATGGAACTACTCGGAGAAACCAATTTTATGTAGCACCTGGCAAGCCCATGCAAGCCCCAGCTATCGCATGCGGTGCTGGGCTTTTCAGGCAAACTCCATGCAGCCATGGTCGCCTGAGCTTCGACGGGTAAGATGTGAACTTAGAATCACAGCAAGCATGTGGTGCGGGTCATGCCCTCCACGGACAAAGCTGCAAAGGACATGGGCGTGCCAAGTTATCTCTTCTCTGTAGGAATTCACGCAGTTTTTCGCCAGTGCTAGACAGGTAGCTGATGCCAGAAGCACTGGCCAAGTGCTAGAGATTACTTTGCATGCATCCCAACGTTGGAGCTGCATGCTTCCACGCTATCCGTGCTTTGTTTCAAACGAAGACGAATCTCAAGAGGCACTCACACAAGTGAAACTCATCTTAAGCCCAGGCATGCTGCCGGACAGTTGTCGCAGCATGCCGAGTCCCGGAAGGCTTGAAGCCCGGCATAGTTCGTTGGCAATATTGCTTTTGACTGTGAGCAAAATATAAACATCATTTATCAATGCAATCAGTATGGCACTGATGTGGACTTGTCGAACACATACTGGGCATAAGAAGCACGAGATGATGTGACTTTCACGACCGAACATTCTGTTCGGGGTCACTTACTCTCGAAAAGATGCCCGACATCTTTGATAGTGACACTGCCCAAACCGAGGACAACGAGAAGCAGGAAGGCCAACCTGAGAAAGCAGTCTGTTTCATGATTCTTTGGAAACTGCAACTGAGAGTGAAAAGGATACTTTCCCCTGGGTTAGATACACTCTGTCTCTCTCGCTCTCTCCCTGCATTTTCCATCCCCTCCGCCAGCAATCCCAGAACTTTCCAAGACTGCGGTGCTCCACCACAATGACTTGAATGCGTGCGCACCAGTAACAGTAACATGAACACCACAGCTAGATTGGGGACATCTGCACAGCAAGTGTGACAAGCCATGAACGTCTAGCCGGGCGCTAGGCAGTTGGTAGAATCAGGGCCGACGGCAGTCTGACAGGTCCCAACAGGTCGCCACAGGTCCCCACAGGTTCACGGATTGAGCTAGTGCTCTCGAGAGCGCAAGCCACGGGAGCAAAAGAACACCTACTAGTGACTTGATGAAGCACAATCCGGGTGGAGGCTGCGCCCCGCCATACCTGAACTCACGGGGCTTGCAATGAATTTCCGAACGTTCAGTCTGCCAAGTGCCGACCGTTTGTCCCGTCTTCTGTAGGCCCGACATGTTGGAGGAGGAAGGGGAAAAGGTCCGGCAAGTAGAGTCCCGCTCGGACGCTGCGTAGCTGCTTGTGCTACGGACGACGAATTCCACCCATCTGATTGGTACTCTTTCATGCTTGGAGGCTCCACATCTTGCTTCTTGTTCTCGTCCAGGCGCTGGCCACTAACCTCTGCAACAAGTGCTACGCTTTAGGAAAGTCACGAAGACTTCACGAAGTCACAACTCGGCCCACTACGCTCTGGTGCACAGCTATTGCGGCCGCGACCCCTTTCCGGGCCTGCTCGGCCAGGACGAAAAGCGCCTTCCCACCATCCAGCGCAGGCAGTGGCAAAGCATTGATGAAAGCCTGGACGACTGACCATCCGAGATCAAAAACAGAACGGACTAATTAGAATCTCAAGGAGTCTCATATTGGCTGCCTGTACTATGCTCGAACATCTACTTGTCACTCGGCCTGGCATTTGTTGGGTTTGAAACCTGACAGCCGCTGTCGACATCACATCAACGACTTAGCTCGGAACCAAGTTCAGATTCACTGTCACCTTGGTGGGTTGATCATGCGTGTCGGCAACTGATGCCCCGATGCCCGCCACGAAATCAGAGTCGTGTTAGGGTGGCCTCTTTCTTGCCCCACTTGCCGAGTCACAAAGAAGATGAAGATCCCAAGCAAGCCTTCGGCCGCCATCAGATCCTCGCCCTGCTTTACGATGCCAACTGGGCCTGTCACAGATGGTGCAGTGTCGAGCAGATAAGTTCTGCAAAAGTCCCAGCTTCCCAGCCTACCATCTCTCCAGGCCCCATGCCTGTAAACAGTCCTGCAGCTTTATAAACGGTCTGAGGCTTAGAGTCGTAGAGCCTTTCAGAAAGGTCCTTCGAGAGCTTTGACCTGTTCATCCAGAAGCTTGGTGAGGACGTCCTTCGCATTGCAGTGCAGCGTGCATCCAGAGTACTCTACAGGCAGCGCTGCAGCACTGCCACTTCAGACTTCAGGCATTGTCTCGTGTACCCACGTACTGATAGGTGTCCGGTCTTGCCCCTGTCTCAGCTAGGATAACCTAAGCCAGCTGGCACCCTGGAGGCTCAGAGAATTTTCAATGCAAGGATCCGTCGCCACACCTGCGGCTTCCTTAGCGCAGCGCCACATCACCCTACTGTCCGTCACGGTTCCGAGTTGCCCTGGCGAAACTTCAAAGACTCTTCTTGGCCAAGCCTCCGCAAAGCTCTCCGCTTTAGCCAGGACCCGCTGCGAGTTGGTTTCGATCATCACGCCAAGCCTTTGCAACCTGGCAGCACACACATTGGCCTCCGCTCAGCTCAGCTCCAGATGCGGCTGTGGAGCCCGGTATTCGGGTCGGTGATGGTGTTTGCGGTCAAAAGGACCTCCTCAGTGCCCCGTTGTACGAGCATCTCGACGGGCCTGGAGCGACACTCTGCTGACAGAATAAAAGGTCCATCCAAAAGCACAAAACAGCTCGCATCAGCCCATGCAATGTCTCCGTCCAGATGCATTTACGGTTGACAACTCAGCCATTTGCTCTGTAGCTTTCATGGCACAGCATTTGATGAATTTCGAGGGTTGAAGCTGGCGAACAGACTGAAACGTGGAGCACGGACCAATCTGATTTGCAGAAGCGATATGTCACGAAGTCGCGACCCGGCGAGAGGAGAAAAGCCTATACTTGCAAGCGGGCCCATGCACGCCATGCCGGCAACTTCATCTTTTCAACAGCTTGCTGCGGTCCGACTGAGATCGCGCCTTCCGGCAGGAAGCTGGTTAATGAAAGCCACCGTCTGACCTGAGCTGCTAGCAACAGCGTGGCCGCAACTTCTCCCACGGCATTGCGCGGCGCAGGACTGGTGTTCTGAGAGCATGGCGCACCTCGGCCCCGGAGAAGTTCAGGTCTAAACCTGCGAAAACCATACTGCAGGGCCATCACTCCTGCGTCTGGGAATCGTCCACGGAGACGCAATGCAGAGACATTTCAGAAACTTTGCCGCACCTCCAATGCGAAGCACCACGTCAGCAGCTTTCAAGCCGGTTCGTGCAAAAGCTTCGTCATCCACAGCCTCCCGGGTCCAGTCGCTTGATAGAAACAGGTCGCAGGATGAGTGAGTGTGTTGAGTAAATCTTGTAAACCTCTCTTTTCCTCCTCCCTCGTCTCTTGCGGTATCCGACATTTGCTGTGACTTGGATTCGCAGCAACATCCCACAATTGCATAGCTACGGTAACTTATAACATGGGAATCCATCCTCTTTGATGCTAAGTGCTGGCTGATATGCTGCTGGGCCGCTGAGATGCGGATACCCGGAAGGAAGTCCTTCGTCGGAACTCCCGCTACCAGGGCGCCAGCTACCAGAGAAGACCAAGCCTGTGGAGGGGATTGCATCAAGGGTACACCCGCTCGCGGGGCAGAAGCATTCCGACAACTCAGGGAACGTTCTGAGATGGACAAGTTGCGACGGCAACGTTGGCCAGAACACCACCGGCAAGCACCCAAACTCGCTCTGCCGTCGATCGTGCGTCAAATTCAGTGACCTGAAGCTGCACATCCAACTGCAGCCCTGGCTGTCCATTCTACCTACGCTGTTGTACAATGAAGGACGGTCGAATTGTACAATGAAGGACGGTCGAAAAGGAGTGAGTGGCAAACACAAGGCCTGCCGACTCCAGTCTCTCTCTGCGACTCTTGAAGCTTCCAGCACTTTTCTGACCTATTTTTGCCAATGCCGCACTGCTTAGTTTCTCACGTTCCAGAAGCCGTGCCCTCCCGAAGCCGTGTTTCGTGCAGCATGTGAAATCAAAGCGCACGCACTGAGCGGCGCACTGCATACAAAGAAATAGCAGCAGCAGCCAAACGCTTGCCGAGGCGACATCACGCGTCACACGACAGCGTCTAATAGCTCGAGTCGGATACGAAAGCGATCTGCGCCAATCCCCCTGAAGCCCCCTGCCTGCACCGCACAAAAAACATACGACTGCTTCTTATGCGACCACCTTCCCCGGATCCACACAGCTGCTGACATCTTCGCACCGGGTCTTGCCGATTTACGCTCGGCGAGGTTGCGGGATTTGCTACTCCTTCGAAGGTGTTTGATGATCAAGGGTTTCTGGTGGGGGATGGTGGCCGGATCATGCGAAGAACGAATCGGATCACGCAGCCCTTGCGAATCAAGCATGTAAACCCGGAACCAAGCCATCATAAGCCAAACACCTTCCAAAGCCCCCTAGAACCCGTGACCCCGAACCAAAAGCCTGAAACCAACCCTAAAATCTGACAGAAGTGTGAACCGTCATCGACAAACGATGTTGCACCCCAGAACCTAGAAGCGCTGAATGTTGGAGCCTGGAGCCACTTATGCAACGACCACTAGGAAACGCACCATGCGGCCATCTTTAAGCTTCACGGTTTTCGCGTCCTCAAACCTGACCTTGGCAGGCAAGTGCCAACAATTTGCTACAAACGATCTAAAGAGAAGCACAGGCAACCTGATTCGAGGGGCATATCCACCAAACGGAAAGGCCCTGAGGACAAACTCGGTACCATCAGGGCTTCGTCCAAAATTCACCACCTGTGCGAGTGTCCGGATGTTTAAACTAATGACAACAAACCGTGGCACCGGTCGGTTGTCACAATGCAAGTTTTGCCTCGGGCCCAAAGCCCAGGGCGAACTCTGCTGCAGGGAGCCCAATGCTCCGCATGCATAGGAAGTGTCCAGCCTGCGAGTGGGGAGTGCTCACAGTCTGGACACTGAACTCTCACGCCTCAGAGTTCTCCCAACAAGGCCTCGTGGCACACAATCGCCAGCGCCAAGGCCCCAACTACCTTGGCATGCAGCATCATGCAGCAAACTACTTGCAGTCTTCACCGGAAATCATGTGCCGAAATTGCTTAAGGCTCCGCTCCATCTTACAGCAAAGTCCCAAGACTCTGGCATTGGCAACGAGTGGAACCAAGATGCCAGAGCCGGTTGATCGGATGGAAGCCCGGGTCCGATGGATAACGCCAGGGAGGAGGGAACGTCTGCGGGCGTGACCTTGCGATGAGTCACGTGAACTTATGTAGCAGGTCACCTGCTCGGCTCTCGCATATCTGCAGCATGTTGCAACAGGTCTAAGCTTGCCGCAGAAACGACACAAGAGGCCCGCCGGCGTTGCGGCTGCCTCAGAGGACTTCGCTCCCAACTGCTAATCTCTGAGGTGCCGGATTTTGAGATCTGAGATGCTCTACAGCTCCAACGACGCCTTCTGAAAAGAGGCACTGCATGCGACATGAACACATCACCATGACATGCCCGAGACGTGCCTCCGGGCAGTGACGCCAAGCACGACGAGGCCCAATGCGACCGGTAGGCGTACTGAGTGCAACCAACATGACAGCATGAATATTGACAAACTGGCAGATCCACACACCTGCACGTCTTCACTCCAAACATACTTCTGCAGAATGTGCAGTGCCCCTTCACTTTTGCGAAGCTTTGTGTAAACCTGCGTGTGTGTTACGGCGAGCCTCTGCTCTCCTTGCAGATCGGCCTGGCATCCACTCGTGGCCAAACAGCCACGCAAGCCTTGGTGGGCCAAGCACCCTGCTGTGCCATGCTCTGTTTCGCTCTAGCACCACCGAGTTTGGTTAGTGCTCGAAGCCACATTGAAATCTGGGCACCATCTTGCATTTCGCTTTCATTCTGCTGGGCGATCCGATCAACGTGACAATGTAGTTATTTGCACAGTAACGCACGACAACAGTCGACTTCCCTCCTGACTGCTGCAGTGGACGAAACCTCGAAATGACCGCTGCCTGCACCCTGAGCCTTGGGACATGCGGGTTTGCAAGGAGATCATGCTGTCCAAGGTGCGGCAGGCACTGATACTTTCACGTGCTGCGGTGCTGGGGCAAAGAGCGCCATAACGCAGAGAAACCGATTCGTACAGGTTGCAACTGTCACGCACAGCTCAACGAGGGTAGAAGAGATGCATGATGACATGCTGCACTACTTTCCGCAATTCCTCGAACCTTGTTCAGAGGATCGCTAAACAAGCAAGCACCTTTCACATCACTTATGCGAGCCTAACGCGATTGGGCCATTTGGCTGCAGTTGATCTGGACATGCACCTAAATGTCTTGCCCGCTCCTCGCCAGCTTGGACTTCAGTACCACGTGTAATTGTGTTGCAATCATGTACTGCGAGTAGTTTCGTCTACAGCCATCGGCCAGGCTTGCCTACAGACCTCATTCGGCCAATATGATCCTGGTGGTGGGGGTGTCGTCGAGAATAGTTTATGCTTCTTCGCTGCTCCTGTCCGTCGGCAGACAGGCTTTGAAAAGCCGAGTTTCCAGCAGAATCTCATGCTCCATCGCGGCAGATGCGAGCGCCAAGAACAAAGACAGGGCTGCCAAAGGAACATACACCCTGACTCAGCAACTCGCACCCCGAACAACGGTTCGAAACGGCGATTGTGTTGCCACAGCTCAACTTCACCAACAGCAAGGGATCTCGCACCCAGTGATGATAATAGACGCAAGGTCATCCTGTGGCTAATCCTGCAGTCATTGTAAAACAAGGACCCCGCTTGGACCAAGTGCTTCCGTTCAGGATGGCTAAGGTTGCGAGCAATACACCTAGCATGCCAATGCTCAAGTCTGCATCTACCTTCATCGAGTGTCGAGTGTCAGTGCCGTATCCACTGCGAGCACAGCATAGCCTGTCTCTCCTTTTCGTGCTCCTCGACGGCCTGCCGACGCAAGCAAGACAGCAAGAACCAAAGCGCACAAGCAAGAGGCACCCCGGAAAAGCACGCAGATCGCGCGGCTCTTCCGACTAGTGCTTGCTCAGCAGGTGGTCACGCAGTCTACAAGTCGGTCAAGCACCTGTTCCAACCTTTCCTTCGCTTTCTGCATGATCTCCTTGCCGGCCAACATTGCCAACCGAAGAGGACATCACGCTGAGCACACTACCCACCCGAGTGCTAGGGTGACGTTGAGGTGAGATCCAATCTCTCATGTAATAAGGATGACACATGAAGGTTTCCTCTAGCAGTGGGATGTGGAACCAGATCCTAATGACCTCTAGATGACAGGGTTTGACAGTTTGTGATGCGGCAGAACTTGTCAGACCACGGGTAGGACCGGGTAGGATTCTCAAGGCCACGATAATGACGAGTATACAGGAACGAGCTTTTGCACTGCCACTGCTGGCCACTGTACCTGGCCACGAAAGAAGAAGCGTTTCATACACACACACACACACAAGTATTCTGCCGCTGGCATGATGCTCAACATGAACCCGTGACTTGATCCAGGTGCATCAGAACTTACACCCCGCTGGCGTACGAGACTGAGCTCCCTTTATCGTTTGTTGGGTTCCGGCTTACCCCAAATTGTCAAGGACAGCCTCGGGCCAAGTCCACCCGACGCGATCAAGCCAATCCTGCCTGTTTGGGGTCAGGGATCCCTGTTCGGGTCTTCGGTCCCACTCCCCTCTGCCACGGGGTTGCCCCGTTCTGCTATGTGCTTGGTGGCAAGGGTTGCCACGTAGATGTCGGCCACTCCATGATGGGGATCATTTCGACGCCTCTGGCTCTTTCCCGATCTCTCGCTCTTGCTCTGTGCCTTCCGTCCGGTCTGCCTCTGCTAAGGGATCACTGCGCTCAAGTGCAACCCATTTTGGATTTGACGGAGCTGAAGAGACATGGCCAGAGCCTACCACCTCGGCCGGGAAGAGCGAAAGACAATCTCTGTCTCCCCCTCTCTGTCTCTCTCTCTCTCTCTCTCTCTCTCTCTCTCTCTCTCCCCCTACTTAGAACGCTGCAGGTCCTCGACTCGCTGCTCCGCTGCCAGCTTTAAAGACCTACAGACTGGAACGGCTAGAAGCTTGGTGCGAAGACGTTTTCACAAGAGGTCACAGTTGCACGATGCGGCCCCGGCTCAAGCTCTTCTTGCTTGTCTCGCAGCGCTTCGTCCAACTGCCGGGAGGGTAGGGTCAAGAAGAGCAACTCAAGTTGGCAGACTGTCTGACCAGCGATGCAATCTGCTGTCAACAGATCAATGCTTCAGGCAACTGAAGTCCGCGGCAACAAATGCCAGCAGCTAGCAGCTACTTAGCTACTTGTGGACCAACAACGAAAACATCGAACAAGACTGATCCTGGTCTTCAAACACAGTCACCCGATGGCATCTCATATCCAAGTTGTCCGTTCCGGGATTGACGACTCGACAGTCAACATGCGCGGCTGTTGAGTTCTACTTTCACAATGCATGGAGCTGACCATTCAGGCCTGACCCAACGGCCACAGAAGCATGCAGCATGAGCCTTTTTGCAAAGAGCCACCGAACCCCTCGTGGTTCTGAGCACCCAGTACATTTCATCGTCCGTGAATGTACACCGAACCCGCTCGCTCCATCTGAACAGGACAAAGTGGTGCCATTGGTGCCGTTGTGCAGGCTCAGCTGTGGAAGTTCAGCATTAGCCTCCGCACATGACATGAACAATATGAAGCATGCAGAGATCGACATTGAACTCAGCATCCCGATCACAGATTGTTGAAAACACCCTTGCACTTTGCACTGACATTCTGGCAATCCATCTGACCATGATCGGCACGCAAACAGCGATGCAGGAGAACAGAGCACAGATGGATACAGCAGCTTGAAGCCGACAATTCGGCAAGAACCCATGTAGTCAGCACGAGCAACAGCCTTCACCTGGTCCAGTACTGAACATCGTGCCTGCCCGGTCTGGCACATCACATATCTGCAGATCGTCCTGGCACCATAAAAGTATGGAGGCTGCCCGATACCGGTTGACCACAGTGAAGTTCATGCTCAGGCATACATGAACGTCCATACGAATCAACATCTTGAAACCTGGAACACGTTACCCGTTCACAGTCACACTCGCACAGAATCCTTGACCGGGTGGTAGGCGTAGAAGCTCGCCGCGCTGAACAAACCCACCTCAGGCAACCATCTCGCACAGATCCGAAAAGTGACTTCAGCCGACTGGAGCCGCATTAAACCAAAAAGCCAGGCAGTTTTAGCATCACTTGATCCGAAGAAGTTTGACCAGATCAGCACGGAGAGAACAAGATGCAGACCTGCAAGTTGTTTCTGCTTTTCTGCCCATGTGCCACAAGCTCTGAGCAAACGGGCACTTGTAAACTTGCATTCCTTGTAGCTGCACTCGAAAGGAGGTGTCAAACCTGTCGCGGCCCGCATGAAGAATTTCTCACAGATCAGAGTGCAGACAGCAAACGAGGGAGAACTACCAAGATGCTTCTCTCACTCCATCTAACCAGACGGCATGCCTCCAATGAACACTGCATGAGGCAGCGGATAGAGCCGCAGCCTTGGGAGGGAGGATCTTTGGTGCATAAGCGACACTCTTGGATGCACCTTGTATGCATCCTGCCAAGCACAGCACGTGTGGTCGTACTCCCACAGGATGTTACTCTCTTCCAGTGGCAGGGGGACAAGGTGCGCCTGCAGCTTGACAAGACGAGCTGCGGCGCTCTTCGGGATGTACAAAGCACGGCAGAAGCAATGCACACACTGCCTGCCATGTTGGTCTCGTTAAGCTTTAGTGACCCGTGCAAGCTTGACAGCTGCAACGAAATGCCGCACTCCGACACTGAATCACCGCAGCGCCTGATCCAAGATAAACCGCGCAGCCTGCGTGTAGCGCAAATCGTCGAAACCTTGCACCTTCGGCTTGAATTCAGTATGATCCGCTTTCTGAGGGAGGTGTGTAGCACGAGCAATGGTGATGTTGCTAAGGTCTGTCTTTCGGGCAGCAGTGGGGGGCAGCCGCCACCGTACTCCATCCCACAACCTTCTATCTCTGTTTCGTTTTCTCTTATTCTCCTCTCTTACCTCTTCTCGGGCTGCGACAAGAAGAGGGCATGCAATGCTAACCTCTCTATGCATGGATGATGGGAAAGGAGTTGCAAACAAGAAGTGGCAAGAAGTACGTGGCTCGTCCTTGTTGCATCGTTTGCTGTTGTCACGCTGCTTGCAAGATGATGGCTAGTGCAGCGAATGTTGATTACATCCTTTTCATCAACATTCTGCCTTGAACATTCGAAAGTTCGATTGCGGTTCCTTGCAAGTTTTGTTCCAGTGGTGGTTTGCTGGCATGTCATGTGTGTGTGTGCAAAACGCATGCACATAGCGCTCAGTAGTTTAACATGAAGGGGTTGTAGGGGAGCTTGGCCCAACAAAGCTGTCACTCACACCCCAGGTAAACAGGTAAACGTATCCGCCCGCATCTGCCCTGGGCACTAGCGTGGGCAGCTGGCCGATATTTTTCTTCATGTCATTTGGTGTGCCATTCCTTTGTGTCAGGACCCTACCCGTGCGAATCCTACAGTTCGCTCCATGTACAACCAAGCCCCTCTGCACAATATGTTGGATGGGGTAACGCTGTTGGATGAGGTAGCGCTGAAGCGCGGGTCGCAAGGACTGCTTGCGGCCCACACCCCGGAGCAAAGCGAAGCAGAGAGAGAGAGAGAGAGACAGAGAGACAGAGAGACAGAGAGACAGAGAGACAGAGAGACAGAGAGACAGAGAGACAGAGAGAGAGACAGAGAGAGAGACAGAGAAAGGGAGGGTCACACCCCTGCACCATAGCCCCTGGCGAAAAAAAGAGAAAGAGAAAGAGAGAGACTGAGAGAGAGAGAAAGCTGGCCGCTCTGGCTGTGCTGAAACAAAATCTTCGAATTGAGACACATACTGTCGTGGGACACACGCACACACACAAAAAACAAACAGAGGCATGGCGAGAGTGATTGCGATTGCACACAGGCAGGGACCAACAACAAAGGAAAAGAAGGGAACGCAGGAAATGAACAAAAACGGTGTACAGCAAATTAGTGCCACACCCAGAAGTCACATGCCACATTTACGCCCAGATGGGCTGAGTAGCGAGTTCCCTGGGCACCCAGTTGCTCCCTCTGTTTGTTTGGGTCTTTGCCCACTGTGCTACGCTGCAACACCACCTTTCCTGCCTGAGCCGTGCCTCCATCCCGAACATAAGCCTCAGCCCTGCGCACTCACTGCCTGTGACCTTCCACTCGACCCTGAAACCTGATCTACAGCTAGTGCCCTCCACTGCTGGGAAGCCAACAAGATCCTCAGGGCACCGGTCAAAGCTACAGTGTGTGCCCCACGCAACGGGACTGGCAAACGCATGCTAGCCAAACTTAGACTTACACTCACATGACGGGTCCTGCAGTGCCCTGCCATTTCCGCTGTGAAGCTGTTGGGCGTGTGCCCCACTCTCTGTGCAAGTAACCCACCCATCCTTACTTACCTGCCTGACCCTGCCTCCAACCCGAACTACGACCTTCCACTCAACCCTGAACCTCGCTTCGCTCTATGCACGCAGCTGGTTCCCTCACACCAAAACTGAACAACACCTTGGCTTAAAGGGTCCCAAAACTAGTTGTCATCGAACGCTGCGTGCATGAGTCTCCTGCGGTGTGTACCGCGGCTTTGAGGCGAGTGCCCCTCACTTGGCTCTCTCAGTGGTGGGTGTCCCCAATCGGCGTTGGCGGTGGCTCGCTGCTGTTGTGGTTGTGGCTGTGGTTGTGACTGCGGTCGTGTGCCCGTCTCCTCTGCCTCTGCTGCCGCTGTCTGTGGTGTCTCAGCAGTGCTTGTTGTGCTCTGGCGTGGCTTGGTGGGCTGCTGGTTTGGTGTGTTCGTTGCCGCGGCTCGTTGCGTCTGGGCTGGTGCCTGCTGCGGGGTGTCCGTGCTGGAGCTGGCTTGTTCCGTCCGCTGAACTGTGATTGGCAGGGTGAAGGTGTACGCCAAAGTTGTGCAGGGCTTGCAGGTTGTAGACTTTGAGTGTCCGCTGTCTGTTCTCCCACTTCAAGAACATCTGGTCTCCTTTCTGCGCGTCGAGTGCCCCCCGGGATCGCACAAACGGGGCTTCGCGCACTCTCAGGTACCACACCATTGGCATGGCTTGCTGCAAGGGGCCGACCGGTCTCAGTCTCCGGGCCGTGGCGGTTGTGGTTGTGGCCTCGGCTGCTGGTCTGCTTCGGGCTGTGGTGGGTGGTCGTGGCGGTCACACACCAGTGTTTGGGGCGCCGGGTGCCGTCTGCTGTTGCGGTGTTCCCTGCTGCTGCTCCTGACCTCTTCGGTCCGCGTCTGCTTGGTGCGCGATTGGGCGCCTGGCACGGTAGGCTGTGTGCCCGTGGTGTTGCGAGCAGTGACTTGTGGCAGTGGTGGTGGTGTCTCCGCAGGTTGATTGCTTGTGTTGGTGCCGAGTCGTGGGGGGTGTGGTGGCTCTCTTGGGTCTCCTCCGAGTCCTCTGTTGAGGCGTTGTTCGGCCTCCGCTGCGGCTGCTGTGGCTGCTTTGGTTCCTGGCTTTTGTGAGGCTGGTTGTGTGCCCGTGGTGCTGTGGGCAGCCGCTTTGGGGAGTGTGGTTGGGCGCCCTCCCCACGTGCCCCCACAAATTCCACATAGATTCCAAAATGCATGCGCTCCATCGTGGGATCTCTCATACTTCACGAGTGCGATGCGAGCTAGTCGTAGCGAGCTTGCTTTCCAGTCCACCCAGGACTCTCCCGGCGTCCTGCCAATCTTGAGCATGTCTTTGGTGTGGCGAAACGGTCAATCAGGTGCTGGACATGCAGTGGGTTCTCGCCCCAGACGTACATGTCGCCCATGTATGCTGCTGAGCGGTCCGGAGGAGGTGGTAACTTAGGGTTCGGGCCATGGGCCTGGTCTTCACCTCCTTGGCCGTCTTGTCCCCTCACTCAATGCGTCCATGGTGATCGGGGGCTGGTCCGCTCTGCCTCTTTTCTGTGGGCTCTTGTCCCATCGACTGCCATCGCCGTGGTTCCTGGAAGGCCTCCAATTTAAAAGGGTGGGTGCCCGGATGCCCCGCCATCGCGTGGGTGAAGTTACTATTCACGGTGTCGTTGCCCGGGTCACGGTCTTTTAGTTGTCTAAGTAGACGCTG